GACAAGACAATCAATCTTTCTAGCTTACTTGGCTACATCATCGAAGAACATTAAGCACTGCATCATAAGGTTGCTTACTTGGAAAGATATTTCGAGTCCACAGTGTACTGAACCGTAGCATACTGAGCAAGGATGGATGGGAGATTATTGAGTGCTTTGTACAGAGACAGCAAGCTTCTTGGTGCAGCTAGAAAGGACCACACAAAGATCACAGACATGACCTATACAGACCTTACGCTCGTTTAATCATGCCCCAGGATCTATGCAATGAAATACATTTGAATCTCTCTGGCAAGAACGCAATCCTGCAGAGTGCAAAGACACCGCAGTACAAGCAAGGTTAGAGATGGCTGAGACAGAGGACATAGGAACTCAATCTCACTTTGGCACAAGGACCCATCTATCCCTGCCTTGTAACAGGTGGAAGACCAAATAACAGGATGGTATTTGATAGCTCCCCAAAGAAATGTCAGGTCGCCACTCACAAGGGCAACTGGATTAAATGAACGTGATTTTTAAATTACCATATTTAGCTGTGATTAAAGCTAGCAAACAAAAAACATCGACTTATTATTACTGATTTTTTTTCTTTTTTTCTGTTTACTTGCTTCTCAGGGAAAAAAAAAAGTTGCTAGTCTTTGTGGCTAATAAACAGATTTTCATTTTTCTACAACTTGAATAATAAATAAGACATATACTTTCATTAATCAAGGTGATAACCTGCGTGCATTTTTAAACACATTAATATACTGGAGCTGCCATTCACAATTGTCTAAAAAGATATGTTCCTTTTAGTCGTAATCTATGCAAAGATCACTCTGGATAAAGATTAACAACTAGGAACCAGAAAATAAACGTTTGAACTGATGTTATTAGCTAAGTCAAACTATATTTGTACTAGATAGATGTACTAGATAGAAGTTGGTTATCAAAATATTTTACATTAATACATTTGGTTTGTTTTGCAGGGGAAACATCTTAATGGGAATCCTTGTCTCCTTGGCTTTCATCCGGGCTGTAGAATTAGTAGAGCTCAGTCTAATCGTTGGTTCTAGCTTGGAAGAGAAAAGCAAACTTTTATTTTCCAACGTTGATTCTGTCTCTTACCTTTGAGTAACTGAAGTAAACTGGGGAAAAAAAAAAAAGTTACTTGTCTGCAAAGGGAATCTCAGTTATCAAAGCGATCCCCCAAATTGATGCACTCTTGATCCTGGCAATTAGCCAGCTCAGCTGTTCTTTTAATTGTCTCTAAATGCAGAAAGGCCCATATCCTTTGACAACTATCATCGTTAAACCTTGGCCCTTCACCCTTCTTATTCCCAAGAGGAAACAGCCCAGGTCTCCCAGGCCAGCAGCAGCCCATCCCATCCCACCCCTTGTTTCCTGCCAGGCAAAGGCTGCCAGCAGGGTATGGAAATTCACTGGGAGAACTAGGATTTGCAACTGGATTCCTCATAAGCTGAACAAGGCCGTGCCTGAACGAGCCCATATGTGCCTGAGAGCTACGGATTAATGCCATGGTGGAAAAGATGAGGGAGTAGATGCTGCAAAAAGACAAAGGAGTTCAGATATGACTGCAAGAAGCAGTTAGGGGCTGACTGCATTTTAAAGCATGTACGTAACCATGACTTATTTTTGTTCCGAAAGCAACTTATGTTTTTCCCATATGGGTGTTTCAGAACACAGCCCCAAAATAACAACCTCCAATTTGTTGGAAGTGAGAGTATGGAAGAGCAGCAAATAGCCAGATTCTCCAGGAAAATAAGTAGCAGTTCATCTCTTTACAGGTAATACAGGACTCTTATAGGAGGAAGTTTGTCTTGGGAACTCCTGATCTAACTGATTTCCTCTGGCTAGGAAATCTTAGATGCAAATTACAAGATGTCTCACCACCAAGTCTCATGCTTGAAGAACACTGGCTACCAGTTGCTGAGGACATTGGCTGTTCCTCCCCCAAAAAAGCAGCTCAAAAGCTGTTCCCACAGATCTGGAAGGTGCATAAAACTGCTGTGGGGGCTGTGGAGACTGCCAAGTGATTATCTCGATGCTCATAGCAGATGTTCAGTGACAGGAAAGACAGAAAAGTGCCCTGTCAGAAGATTTTGACTACATTGTGAGGAAGACCTCTCCATCCCCTGGCCATACAGTGCACTGTGAGTTGTGGAGCCACCAAGAGAGGGGCCTGGATGCATTTACGTGCCATGGCCTTCAGCCTTGAGTCTTTTCTTTAGGCACCTATGTGCACTAAAGACTCATTTATGTCTGTTTAAATGACCCATCTGGACGCTTTCCTGTGAAACCTACTCTAGGGAATCTGTTTTAGCAGGGAGCTTGGATTTGATCTTCAGAGATCACTTCCAAGTTCTACAACTCTGCAATTCTGTGATTTATTACCGTTATTACTATCCTCTTGTGTCCACTCTTCCCCCACCAGCCCATGTGCTGTCTGAAAATATACTCCATATAGACTGCATATGGAGTCTGAAAATATATAAGGGCTGCACTGCAAGCCACCAGGGTGGAGTTTTTTCAGCCCCATGCTGTGTGCATATATTACATGCCTGGAAATTAGTGTAAGGGACATGCAAGCCTGCACTGCCTATGGGGAGGATGCCCCAGAGGAAACCAAGTATGGTGAAGACTGCACCATGCCTCCTGAAGGGCAGAGGCAAATGTCCATAGAAGGACACTCAGCTTTTACTTCAGAAGCACTTGGTTTACCCATTCTAAAAGAGAAGCCAGGAGCGAGCTAACATATATGCAATGGGGATGATCCCACGACCAGCACTCAGGAACAAGGCTGGGAGCTGAGTTACTGGCATTGTGCACATGCTCTGTGATGTCCTGTCTCCCAGAAAAGCTGCACAGTGCCAGTCCCCTGCGCAGCATTTGGGAGATGTTGGGTCCCATCTCCCACGCATGCACAGGCAGCTCTCAGAATCACACCAGCATGGAGCAGAACTGTTCCATCCATCAGCCCCTGCTATGTATTTTCACCTGACAAGAAACAAATCTGAGCCTGAAGGCTCCAGGAAGATCCTGGGGCCAAGCTCCAGACTGAGATCAGAACAATCGGAAGTCACAGGTATTTATATTAGCATATACAGTTCTGTGCATGTGAAAAACATTTTAAGGAAGACAGAAGTATCAAACATCCAGCAGATTTGCATTGTATCTTTAATGTTTAGCTCAGCATCTATGTTTAAGTTCAGTCAATAATGTGTTTTGCAATCATCAGATGCTGTATTTTGGTCCTGGCTCTTTCAGTAAAATAGTCCCAAAAGAATAGTCTGATCTACCAGTTGTGAGTACAAGTAACAAGAGGACTTACATCTCAAAGGCTTAACCAGTGAGACAGAGATGCAAGGTGGGAAGGACTGCTTAATCCATGTCTCTTTTAGGACTAGGCATTTCCCTCAAATTCTCCCTAAACATGAATACGAGGCAGCTTCCAGAAAGGACTCCAGTCAATGTATCCATGTATCCATGATATGTCTCTTCCCAAAACCTTTTCCTTAAACCTTCCCCTTTGCAGAATATTTTCCTGGACTGTGCCAATGCACAGACCACTCAAGAGTCAGGCTCTAACAGTTACTCCAGGCTGTAAGGTCCACATAAAGCTTAGACCATAGATGTGGATTATCCCAAAGGAAACCACAGCAATCTTTCGCCTGTGGGTACATAATTCCCCATGATACACTGGGATACTTCACAGGTCAGGAATGGCTTTGGACGTAAACCACGTCAGTCTGTCCATATGTCATGCATCCTGACAAAAAAGAAAGCCTCTTAGTTCCTTGCACTTAAAATCTAGTGTAAACTGTGAATTACAGGGTTGAATATCTTATTCAGGGTAGATTAACGTGTTCTAACTCTACCCTCTTTTAACTCTGATGGGGATTTGCAGCTGTGTAAACGAAATGAGAATTACAGCCATGTCTGTGCCAAAAAAAAAAAAAAAAAAAAAAAAAAAAGCTAAATATACAAATAGGCTGAACAGAATATGATTTAATCTTCAAAGCAGACACGTTTTGAAGATTTTTATTTCCCTTTCCTTCTAAAAGTCAAGATCTTGTCGCAAGCCAGGATGTACAGAAGGAGACTCTCTGCAGGGATTCACCAGCTTTTCCATTAGCTGAGGGAGCACCACAACCTACACCAGCCAAGGAATGGAGCAGTCTCTGCCTTAAGTAAAGGATGGGGACACCTCAGAGGAGCTTGCTGGACCTCACATTAAGTGAAAATGATGATGGCACTGAGCTGAGTGCAGGTCAGAGGAGATGAGGTTATTTTAAATGTTCATCCAAACAGCGATGCCTCTATACACCCAGTGGTGCCAATATACAACCAATTTGCCTTTATGTCCTGAGTCCTAAGGAGCAGAGATAGTCTATATGGGCTCAAAGAATCATAGAATCATTGAGGTTGGAAAAGACCTCTAAGATCATCAAGCCCAACTGACAGCCCATCCCCACCATGAGCACTGAACATGTCCCTCAGTGCCACACGGTTCTTGAATATCTCCAGGGATGGTGACTCCATCACCTCCCTGGGCAGCCTGTTCTGATGCCTCACCACTCTTTTGGAGAAGAAATAATTCCTAATACCCACCCTTAATCTCCCCTGGTGCAACTTTAAGCCATTAAGCAAAACCTTCCCTTATTTTGGTGGATATTAGACTGAAATCTGGTACCAGGAACCCTGTAGTCATTCAGAGACCTGATATCTTCAAGCAGCTTGCAAAGGGGGAACCTGCTGGGTTAGGTTATCCAGCCTGCTATAAAAGGCAACCTATCAGTGCACTCAGCTGATGGAGGCTTAGGACAGGTGTTGCATGCCTGGATTAGCTCTGCAACAAGGATGCCTGTTTCTCTGTACTACAACGTTTCATCTTCCAGAAGCTGGAGAGGCCACAGCTCAGTCAGCCATGCACTCGTGCCCTTTCTGGAGACACACTGAGGAGCTGTGCTTGGGGCCATTCTGGCAGTGTTGATGGCTTGAGTTAAGTCCGCCTACTTATTAAGGTGACATTTCCCCAGTCGCCCTCCAGAGCTCTGCTGCCACCAATGCCTGCATGGATGGTCTCTTAGCATTTCTGCATTTTCACTGTCTAAAGAAGACTTTTGTGCAAGAATGCCCCTGGTTTGCTTCATGTGCCAGGAACATGGAAGGAACTGCTGCTGGCAGACTCCACCAAGGGCCACCAAAGCGCTCCCTATGCTGAGAGTTTCCTGTAAGAGAAAGAGGTGCTTATGTAGGTGCAAGACTGGTGAGTAGAATGGACAGGAGAAGAGCAGAGATGGTTACATCCATTGCTGGCAATAACATACACTAGGAAGATGGGATGTGTGGGCAGAAGAGGTCTGTACCCACCTACAAACACGGACAGGGACCCCATTCCATCTGGGACGTGGCATTTAGATGAACTTCTGCCATGTCTGTGTTAACACTGCTTATGCGTGATAAAGCTTTCAGCTGCAAAATGTCACATTCTTTAAAGCCTAACCAGCCAGTCATGCTCTAGGCTTTAACAGCTGTAACTCTAATTGGACCATGAAAATTAATTGATCCGCAGCACGAAAACAGAAGTCATAGCAAAAAGAAACCTAACTGCGTTTGCTTGGTGGGAGGGTGTGCGCCACATGGGTGCTCCCCTTCACCGTCACCTCCCCTGCTGACAGAACCCTCCAAAACACTACAGCCTCTGAGATGCAACTATCACATCAATCTGCCCCATAAGCAGTGCAGTATTGCTGCTATCAATCAGCTAGTGAACAGAGGAATAACCAGCTCAGCTGGGTGATTTGCCTTCCTGCAGCTGCAAGGGCATAAGGTCAGCATCATCAAGGGATGCCAATGTAGGCTGACATCATCTTTCCACCCTCACCTGGCTTCTGCCTCCTTCCTGAGGAGAAGAGCAAGCACCCCTGTGTCCATACTGACAGCATCGTACATCATTTCTCAGCAAAATTATTTCTCCTGCATCCCATCATGCCAACAAGAATAGCTCCAGATCTCAGTGAGGGGAGAGGAATGTACAGGGCTGAATTACAGAAGCAAAGAAAATTCTTCCAAGAGACACTCAAATGCACAGTCTCCCATTTCTTATTTATTTATTCCCATTGCCACAGAGCAGATCTGGAAATCTGCAGTGGAGAGTGCTGAGGGCTGAGGTGTGCTGCAGCCTGCCATGGGAGGGCTGCCAGGTCCTGTCACAGGACTGTCCCCAGTGAGCAGGGCAGTGAATGTTCCTGGGTTATTTAGGGGCCAGGAAGGCTGGCGTTCATAGCAATGGCATGTTTACTTGCCAAGTCCTAGAGATGGAGGAGGTGCTAAGATGGTAACTCCTTGCACATACCAGAGTCTGAGGTGTGCATGTGATAGAAAGCAGTGTGATTCTCAACGCTTCCCCTGGAGATGAGCCCAAAGCCAGCCACATCCCAGCTTCCAGACACTGTCAGGGCATCAGTTTAAGTGTTCTGCTTTCAGACTCACAATTAACAGTTCTCCCTCCTCCTTGATGTCTGCATCCTTAGAGTGTTTTTGGACTGTGGTTCTATCCTCTGTTAATCTTCCCGTCTCAAACATGTCCTATGTGTGAAGGTTTTACCACTTACAGAGGGACAGATTAACAGCTGTTATCCCTCTTCAACCAAAGGGACTTGTATTTGAGGTAGAGAATGCTCTTGTTTTAGTTTCTGACTTCATAAAAGAGATTATCTGCTCTCTTGTAGGAAAGGCTTGATAGTTGTTTCATTTATAAAGCTGCTTAATTCCTTGATTTGCTGAGGGATCACAAAGATCTTTGTGAGATCCATGTGAACAGCTCAAGAGGCCAGAGAGGGAAAGGGAAAGGAATTTCTCCAGAGAGTATTGAAGAACTGCACTGCCATCTCTGCTCTCAGCAGTAACAGATTTTTGGACAGGTTTGGCCTCATCAGGACCTAAGGTCTTCTGTTCTTGAAATATCAGGGTCAGACCATGATCCCAGGGGTGTGGGTTCAATCCTCACTCTAAAATGGGCATCTCAAAAGCAGGCGTCTCCTCTACATGTTTTTGTGGTGGATTCTGGCAGGGTATAGCTGAGAGAACAAAGAGATGTGGTCCTCTGTGAGAAGAGGGTGATTTCAGCTGGGTTCCAGGCAGAGGAGTCACAAGACACTCCACAATTCCCAAAACCTTGTTGGTAACAAAAGGACCACACATTAGCTCATATTTTTCCAATGATTTACTGGCCAGAATCACGTAAAGAGAAGGTATTGCCTTTCAAGGCTGTGACAGAAACCAATGTAGGCCAAATTGTGTTTGTTTTCTGGCTGACACGCATGGCCTGCACAGCCAAGATCAATTTGCTGCCCTTTATTTCTCTCAAGTGGCTCTTTAGACACTGATGCTTCGCATTTCTCCCTCCCAGGGCACGTCTGTGCTTTTTGCTGTTTTCAACAGTTATTGTTTTACGCAATGTGATCTTACTGTCCTCTTTCACATATACCTTCCCTCTCTAGGCTGTTGATGTGCCGGTGCTTTTGAGATTGGATTGGTGAACACATCTTGAGACGATTTGTGACTGTAGGCTGGGTTTCAGAATCAAGTGCTTTGTTGGGGTCCTTTCTGAGAACTGGAGGAGGGCCAGGCATGTCCACTTTACTGTGCAGCCATCCATCTCCCTGGAGTTTCATAATAATACCCATCTGTTCTCTAGCTTGCTTACGAGAAAGGACCGTGGGGTTACAGTGGTACCAATTAGCACATCTTGTTGAGACTGCATTTAAAAATATTCACTGCCCATCTGCGTGGAGAGAAAAATCCATTTCTGTTAACGAGGTTGTTTTTCTCCTGACTCTTGCTGTCTGCATGGTACAATGAGACTTAGGAGGAAAGCCTCATACCAGGGGAACAAGTGCCTTACTTTGAATGAAACTGGCCAGTCATCTCTGGGGGGTGAGAGAAAAGTTCTAGGATGTGACAAGTGACAGAAGAACACAAAGTAGGGGAAGTGTTTGTAATGTTCTCCCTTCTCATCCCCAAATCCCACTGGAGACAAAGCCTAAAAAGGTATGTTGCTATGCCTGGTGTGCTGTATCAAGCAGGACATGGTCACTTGCATTCTGCTGATTAAAAAAAAGGGACCCGGTAGAGCAGTTTAATGGTTTTCCATAACACAGCTGCTGCACAAAACTCCACTGAGATATGCTTGTCTTACAGAGGCCCTTAAAGATCTCACGGCAAGTGTGTCAGACATATCTCACATTCAGTGACTCCAGCTCCATATTGTTTGAGTGCTTTATGTAGGATCGTTTTTATTCTCCATGACAATGGCAGACAACAGAAAGCAGCAGAGATGTGAAGGAATTTGGCTGTACTCTCATCTGAGGGCAGCTTTGGCAGTCAGGCTAAGCTCAAGAAAATGGCTGGCATTCTCTCACTGTGCGAACAGACAGACGTCAGGGCGGCAGCGGAACAATGAGGAGGCTCTCCACAGCTCAGTGGCCACCCCCCTCCAAGAGCTCTCCATTCCATTTTTAGATCTATTCACTGATGACTTCCTCCTCTAAGCTGATAGTAGCAGTGAAGCACCATGAAGTCACTGTGGTGCCTCCTGTACCTCCTCTGAATGCCTGGGATCTGACTTCATATCTGTGTCCAAATGCCAGGCTGGGCTTGCTACTGGTGCCACAGTAAGAGGAACGCAAAGCAACCATGGCTAAAGAGGGTCCTGGTGGACAAAAACCTGGACATGAGACAGCACTGTGCTCTTGCCATCCAGAAGACTAACAGTATCCTAGGCTGCATCAAAAGAAGGACAGCAAGCAGGGAGAGGGACGGGATTGCCACTCTCTGCTCCACTCTCATGACGCTCCATCTGGAGTACTGCATCCAGGCTTGGGACCCCCGCTCAGGAGGGATGGGGAGCTGTTGAAGTTGGGTCCAGAGGAGGACCACAACGGCGATAAGAGGGGTGGAACACCTCTCACATGAAAAAAAGGTTGAGGGAATTAGGCTTGTTCAGCCTGGAGAAGAGACAGCTCTGGGGAGACCTCATTGCTGCCTTTCAGTACTTGAAGGGAGCTTACAAGCAGGAGAAGGACTGACTTTTTACAAGGTCTGATAGTGATAGGACAAGGGGGAATGGCATTAAACTAAAAGAAGCAAGATTTAGGCTATACGTTAGGAAGAAAATTTTTACTCAGAGCATGGTGAGGCACTGGCACAGCTGCCCAGATAGACCGCAGGTGCTCTATCACTGGAGGTTCAAGGCCAGGTTGGAGGGGCCCTGGGCAGCCTGAGCTGGTAGGTGGCAGCCCTGTCCATGGCAGGGGGTTGGAACTGGATGATCTTTAAGGTCTCCTAAGCCATTCTATGGTTCTATGATTCTATGACTCTACAAAATAGCCAGAAGCAACTCTGGCTTGACTGTGTGGTGTATTTGTCTGCCAGCCAGAAAACTAAATGCAACCTTGGCCTATGTCATGCATTATTCTCTGTCACAGCTTCAAAAGGCATACCTTCTCTTTACAAGAATCTCCATCACCATAAGCAGATGCAGGTGATATTCCAGGACTACTCTACTTTTGTGGGACAGTTAGAGAATGCCTTTAGTTAGACAGTTAGTAAACTTTTAGTGCAAGCAAGAGTTAAAAACTGAGTTGCAACATGTTTCTCAACTATTTATGACTTGTGTAATCTCAGGGGAGTTGCTAGTGACGTGCTTCAGTCGTAGGTCTGCCTACCTTCCTTCAGCAATGAGCAGAGGGAGGTGACAGTACCTGCCATCTCACTCTCACTGCTACCCACTATTTTCTCCTTAGTGTCATAACATGGGCTTGATCGAACAAGAGAGTTGAGTGGAACTTACAGACACGGGCCACTGAAGCTGAGGACCTTTTGGGATGGACTACATTCAGGTATCATCTCACCCAGGCAGTGATGAACAGACAGTAACATTCTTCTCACCTGTGAGCCCACTGAGTCTGGGCTTATTGTGAGCAGGCTGTAGGAGCAGCACTCCCCTCTACAGGTGGCAGGATATGGTGTGGCCATCCCTCCCTCCTTTCACATCACAGATCCATTTTTAGGAGTCCTGTAGGCCATACACAGGCTGGCTGTGAGACAGAAGTTGGGGCAGAGCATGTCCCAGGGCCTGAAACAAACTGTCCGGACTGCAGTCCATCACAGCAACCTATTTGTGACAGTCTTCCTTACGTTGCATCTCAAGTGCCTCTTCAGCTGATATCTCAGCTGGATCTGTGGGATGTGTTTTTGACAGCTGTTAAAGGACATTGAAGGCAGCTTGTGTAACTGTTCTCCTTTCATAGGCGCGTGTGGATTTATGTCAGATCAGTTGGGATGAGCTCGCTGACTCCCTCTGCCACCTTCCCCTGCTCTCTGCCATCCCGAGGATGAGAAATGCCTAGACATACCACCAAAATAAATAAATAAATAAATAAATCGTCTATGATAGCTTTCTCCCAGCAAACTGTACAACAAAGGCCCTGAAGCTCAGAGTCTGGAGTGCTGGAAAACTGCATCCTGTTGAGAGGTGCTTTCCGTAAAGAAAGAAGCTGTCTGGACACAGGTAAAGAACAGGCTGAGCTTTGCCCAGCCAAACGCTCCCCACATCTTCTGATAATTGGTTGCTTAAAGAAGCCTGGCCAGCTTCACTGAGAAACATAGCAGGGCATGCTTGGCAAGTCAAGGCAGTAAGGATATCAAAACGTTAAGATCTGGGCAGCCAAGGCTCTGAGCTAATGAGGTGGCTATACAGGAAGCCCTAGCACATCCGATTAGGTATTAATGGGGCACCAAAGTTGTTCCCAGCAGTGTCAATACCACCTCTCCAAACATTTTGAAGCATGAGTCACTTTCCCCAGAATCATGAGACTGGCTTGCATGTTATTAATATTTATTTTCTAATTGAAAATAGGAAGAATCTGTCATTACTTCCAAACCTTTGGGTTCGTAGGGTAAATTTAAATGACACAGTGATGTTTCTGTAAGCACAGAGACTTTGGCTTGTTGTCTTTGCGTTGCTTTTCCTGCTTTAAATGAAAGCTGAGATTTCTTTTTCTCATCACATGGATCCAAATCTGGGACAGACTGAATCTCGTCAGCTGTTAGGAGATTTACCATAAAATCACAGGGATTTGCACTGGTTATTGAACAGCAATATGCTAGGCTCAGTGCAGCACCCTTTTGCAATTCTGCCCAAGCTTCCTATCTGTCCACTTTAAAGCTCTCTTTGCTGGCAAGAGCTTAAACTAGTTCAGATAGAGTGAGGACAACATATTTATTCTCTCTTTGCCCTTTTCAGTATTCTCAAATAAGCATGATAGATACAGCTGCTAAAAAACTCATAACTAAGGATGCAATGAGCAAAGACAGCTGATGAAAGCAAATCACCAGTCGTGTCCATAAACTGCTTTATGATGGAAAAGCCACTTGGCAATCCATTCCGCAAACAAAAGCCTTTCTTCTCACTGCCTTTTTTGCAGGGGAGAATAGAAAAACAGGCAAGAAGACCAAGCAGGTCACCCTTATCAGTGCAGTCCTGGCTGCGTTCTGGTGGGTGACAGATGGGGTAAGGGGTGATTTGGAGGTCTCTGCTGTTGCCCAAAGTCTAGCAAAGCCAGAAGAAAGAGAATGGCAGGGTGAGGACTTTTGGGGTCTGGCAGTGCTCTGGCAGACTGCTGATTTCCACACAGCTGCCTGGGATGCAAACTGCACGCCAATGAGGCTTTGTGCAAAGTGCCCTTTCACACCTTCCCAACCTGTGTGTGATTGCCTAAGCCCGAAGAGGCAGATACTGGGGTTGCCATGCCAACTGGTGTCCCCAGTTCCTTCTATTCATCTCCCCAACAGAAAAAGCACCCAGGAATGGTCCAGATGCCATACCCATTGGTGGTATCCCTCTAGGGCCTGGGAATTGTGCATCCCCATAGCCTCTGTGCCTCTGATGAGGCATCGCAGACCAGCAGCAGTTCTACATCATCCTCCCAGTGCATCACCTGTGCTGCTGAACTGGTTTCCAACATGCACCAGCACCCTTGAGCCTGTGCTGTCACTCAGTGGAAGAACTGCACGCATGGCATGAATCCGCGTGCCTGGTTTCCTTTCTGCCGCATTAAAATAGCATAAAGTGTCTCTCGGAGACAACAAGAAGAAGGAATTGCTATTTTGGGGCACTTATGTAAACTGACTTCAAACGCAAAAATGAAAAAAAAATCAAACTCCTTATGTTTCTTCCCCTGCCCCCTCCCTTATAAAGAGCACTGTACAGAGGTTTTTTTGCATGATAAAAGGGTCAAATCCTCAAGACAGAACAAAAAGGCGAGGTGACTTAGGTCTGTACCACATGGAGCTGCCTGGCAGATGAAGCAGCTCTGAGTTTTTGCATTTTATCCCAATTAGCAGAGATTTCCAGCAGTGAACAAATTCTTGTGGTTATCCTCTTCCTTTCCCTGCCTTTGTTTGACCTGCCACATAAATCAGAGCTCCTTTTCTCTGCACTCTGCCACTATCAGGAGTGGGAATCCTGATGGGTAAGTTTGGCACTAATTAAATTTGTCCCTTCTGTTCATTTCACGGATGTAGTTGCCCTCTGCTTTGAAGCAAAGCGCAGGTCGGAGCCAATGGGAGCCTTTAATAATGTGGCCGTCTCATCCAGCGCTGAAGGCAGAAAGTTTTCTTGCTAATTGGATTGTTGTGAGATTACCTGAGGAGGAACAAGCTCCTCTGGACAGAGGAGGGCTGAGAGCACACAGAGTCGTGGAGAAGGTAATGGGCAAATTTATACTTCTGTACACGTCCTCTGAGCCTTCAGCCAGAACAAACACACAGAAAATGCCTTGGGCCCTATTTCCTATGCCTCAGCAGCTTGCTTAGTCATTTGAACCAGATAAAAGCAATTGTGATAGGCTTCCATGTCAAAATGATAGCTTTTTACACCACTGAAAGCGGGGTTCTAGGTTTGTACAGCATGGCAAGAGTGCTTGCAGCAAAGCTAAGTTGGTGATGCCTTACAGCATCTGTTGTGCAGGGCATTGCCCCAGCCTGAGGACCCCCATGAAAATACGGAAGTTTAGTCTGGATTCTATTTTTTTACTTAAAAACTGAGATGCCGGTCTCTGCTGCTGCAGAGAAAAACCTGACCTTGCAGCACTTGAGGGCTTTTTTTCCTCTTTTCTAGTTTGTTTTAATCTTGCAGCTTTCCAGGCTGCCTCGAGCTGTTGAGGGTCTGACATACATTCGTGGCAAGCTTGCAGCAGGCAACAGCCTTCTGAAAGCCAAAGCGGCTTTGCGTGCGGGTTCCCTCCAAGGACACAGACGAGGTTATGAATTCATCCATTATTAGCTTTACTTCTCTGGGAGGTTTTGGTACTCCACAGCCAGTGCTTGCTACATACACACCTCTTGGCCATCCAGCTGGTGCCTTGCACAGAGGAAGAGATGAGGACTCTATTTCCAGCCCTGCTGCTGGAAATGCTGGCTATTTGCATGGCCCTTTGCAGACAGATACGACTAATTCTGCTCATGCTCCGAGCTGGCCAGCAGCCACAGAGCTGATTAGCTCAGGCTCAATAATTCCTCAACGATGGTTGCTCAGTTTCCAGATAGTTTTGAGTGTGGGCAGAGGGAGCTCACATCTGGAGGTGCTCACTGTCCTGTGTCAACTGAGGCTCATCGCTTAAAAACCTGCATCCACATTTGGTTTCCCCATCTCTAACCTGTCCCTGTTTGTTGCAGGGGAGTTGACCAGCCTTTAATGGTCCCTTCCAGCTCAAATGATTCTGTGACTCTATGATTCTACAAAACTGCTGAAATATTTGTGCTCCAGCTCCTTTCTAGGAGTTGCAGTGTGTGTGGAGATATTAGCAGAAGTTGCACTAAGAGTACATAGTATTACCATCATTATTATTATAATGGATTTCATTCCGGATCTGGAGTACATGATTGCAGTCCTCTGAGAGGGGCAAGAACAAAAAGAAATATAAAAAATGATCTGTCATTCTCACCTGTTCTTTACTCAGGAATTATTCTCATTCACTGACTCCCTTTGATTATAAACAAAGGCGTATAATATTTCTTGGATCAAAGGAATAAGACGTTTTTCAATCCCCCAAACTTCCTTTTTTTTTTTTTTTCTTTTCTTAATGAAAGGAGCAGTAAAAAAAAAAAAAAAAAAAAGAACAGGGAGCAATAGAAAAAAAGAAAAAGCAATGTGCTCACACAAGCTCTAGCATAAGACTGGTCTGCTATAGAGGAGGGCACAGCAGCAATCAATCCCATGCTGAGGACACAGCATCCATACTGACCATCAGCAGGCAGCGGCTGCTCTTCTGGAAAGAGCCAGTGAAGCTCAGAGCCAAACAAAATGTGCCCAGAGTCACAGAGATGTACAGCCAGTACCAACATGCAGCATCAGAGAAGGTGACTGAAGAAGGTCTCTTCATACTGCACAGCTTCAGTGGAAGATAAGGACCATCAAGTCCAAACCTTGGTTCTACACAGAACCACTCAAAAGTCAGACCGTATGTCTAAGTGTGTTGACCAGATGAACTCTGGCATCTCGGGGCTGTGCCCACTGCCCTGGGCAGCCTGTTCCATGCCCACCAACCTCTGGTGAAGAACCTCATCCTAATCTCCAACCTAACCTTCCCCTGACACAGCTCCATGCTGTTCCCCCAGGCCCTATCGCTGTCACAGATAGCAAGCTCCACGTTTCCCCTTCTCTCCCCAAATGGAGACCAAAATAGAGCAACCGGTCACGGTTAGCAAAGCGTGCGCTACGGAGGGCTCGAGCTCATCAGTCTGTCTCCATTTCATGCATTTTTCATGCATCGCCTCTTACTTCTGAGCTATTCATTATATCTTTGTTTTTACCTGCATCTAATGAGCCTTTACTGTGCTTTTGATCAGAGATTTTTCTGTGAAGACTTTTGCAAGGCTCTTCTCTTTTCATCTTCCTCAACTCCTCCTTCTCTTCTGCCCTCCTTAGTTGTTCGTTTATCATCACAGGTAAAAATCTTTGAGAGACAATCGTCAGCCCTGGTAAGTGAGTCAGGAATAGTGAAAGGGAGGAAATAAGGGCACATCCTGTGGTGCCAAATAGCAGCAGCAATAGAAATAGTCCCCAAAGCATTCTTTCTCTCTAGGAAGATCCTAGATGGTGCCATCCAGAGGAGAGCCTTGGGGGCCTCCTGAATGAACCCTTCCTCTCAGCATCATATACCAGCAGAGACAAGCATGGGCTCGCTGCCATCCATGCCATTATCACTGGGCCAGGAGCAGCTAGGAAGATGGGTCCTGAATGGAGACTGAACGTCATGATTTCTCCCTACGCCTACTCCTTCCTGCAATGTCAGTACAGTCACTGTCAGGTGAGTGCATCACTTCTCCTTCTGCATGGGTAGGACATGATTTGGTGGCTTTTCCTCCAGTAGGGACTGAGAGACGACATAACAACCCCCTTAGTACTCACTGAGTGTACAGAAATGAATTGTTATCCACTTCATCCAAAGAAGGGCAACAAAGCTGATGAGGGGTCTGGAGCACAAGCTTAATGGGGAGCAGCTGAGGGAACTGGGATTGTTCAGTCTGGAGAAGAAGAGCTCAGGGGAGACCTTATGGCTCTCTACAGTGACCTGAAACAAGGCTGTAGCAAGGTGCGGGTCAGCCTCTGCTCCCAAGTAACAGTGATAGAACGAGAGCGAATGGCCTAAACTTGCACCAGGACAGGTTCAAGTTGGATATTAGGAAAAAATTCTTCTCAGAAAGAGTGGTGCTGCAGTGGCACAGGCTGCCCAGGGAGGTGGTGCAGTCACCATCCCTGGAGGTGTTCCAGAACCAGGTGGATGTGGCACTGAGGGACGTGGTCAATGGGCATGGTGGGGGTGGGCTGGCAGTTGGAATAAATGATCTTAGAGGTCTTTACAAGCTTAATGATTCTGTGACTCATTATTTTTCCTCTTGTTCTTCCCTGAAATACTATTGAATACACTTTTATTGATGGTTTTTGAAGGGTTTTTTTTAGCCTTAATCTTGATTCCTACCAATTTTCCAGAGATGGGGAAAGTTTTATAAAGTTTCAACAATGGGATGAAAATGAAAGGGTGCGTGCATATCTGGTGAGTAAATCCAGATGTGCTGTGCCCTGAGTGGCAAAAGGAAAGAGAGAGACTAGAAATGCAATCTTTTTCCATCATATTTCATTAAAATATAATTTAAAAATGATTCATAGCAAAATGCAGCAAATAAGTGATCTGGATGCTTTTCACTGCAAAGTAATGCTTTTTCATTTTGCAGGCATCTCAGTAAATATTATTAACCCATCTCACACCCTGGGACGCTGAGAAATTACAGATTCATAAAGAAATGTGGACAGTTGCCCTTTGAAGGGAACAATAAGACAAGCCAGATCACCATCTTCTCAAATGTGTGCCTTCTCTACCTGTATTCTCCCCAAGTACTACTGCTCTCACTCACAACTGATGATCATCACTTATTTTCCTGCACACCATAATACCCCTGGAGGAGTTTAAATGCCCAGGGAGTACAAGTAATTCAGGGGAAGCATTGTGTTTGCCCATCTATGTGCTACTCAGGGCATAATACCTACCTGCAGCTGAGTGGCTCCTGAACACTAACTTTCCAGCATTGCCTGAAGGGAGGGGCACCACGAAGGAGAAATGAATGTGGGAGGGAGGGAGGGAGGGAAGGTGAGGGGGTGGAAAAACGAGCCTGCTTTACTGAATAATGAGGGGAGTGAAAATGAATGGGAAGAGAGAGAGAATAGCTGGTTTAAATATTTAATCTCTGTTGCATATGCTTTTGAAGAGGAGACAAAAGCCGTGGAACATCTTTTGTCTTGAACTAATTCTGACCAGAACTGAACAGCATGTGATTGTCACTTCTGTCATTTTCCTTAAGGTGGAGAGAAACAGATTGGTCCTACTGCATCAGCCCATCGTATCAGTCTGCATCTCCAACTGCAGCCAGCATCGGGAGCTGCAGAAGGGATGGCTCCAGATGGTGACACCTCTGCTCCACGAGTGTGCACTGCCCAAATGCTGATGCTGGCGAGTGCACCAAGCAGGCAGGCACAGCCCCTGGTAGTCATGGTGGTTCTTGCAGCCACAGCCTGCAATGCTCTGAGACTGCGTTAGCCACATGAGAAGCTCAGCTTGGATTTCTTCATACAGTAGGAGTAGGAGGAATAAATGCCTTCGGAGCATATTTCATTGTATGTCTGACATTTATATCAGTGAATAGCCACAGGCTCTAAGAAAGATCGATGGTCTCTGATTGACCAGAGAAAACTGCTGAGATGGGGAACTTTTTCTCTTCTTATGGCCATAGCTTTAACACTCTGATTCGTTTATTCCCTTTTCAGCCCTGGAAGCAGAAAGGTACTGCCATCCCTGCTTCTCCAGTGGGCAAGTACTGAGAATTAACCTTATTTCTCCACAAGGTACCCCAAGAAGCCACGGGAAAAGCAGGGATACTTGAGCCACAAGGGAAGTCTTGGCCTTTTGTTAACTGCTGCTGAGCACACTCAGAACAAAAAAAAAAAGGAAAAAAAAAGGAAAAAAATACCCAACAACATAGCCACAGCAATGTCTGTGAGCCTCTGAAGACTCATAGTCAGCAACTGTCTTTTGAAGGCTTTCTTTAGAAGTGACTTCTTACTAGCTATCTGCTGAGAGACCAAATAATACCAAGGTGCATAGCCAAGAATGTTCCCATCCTATTTTGATGTGCTTAAAGGAAATGGAATGGCTAGCTTAAATGCTGGAGAAGACAACTGAGTGGGAGTTTGGGCTTGATGAAGGCAGCTAGGCAAGAGTTTTGCATTTGGTTTACAAAGATCTTGAGTAGGCTGAGATTCCAGGCTGATGAGATGGTCTCTACAATGACTACAATTCTCTACACTTTTTTTTTTTTTTTTTTTTTTTTTGCAAAGAACTCAGGTTCTTGCAAACTATAGACATGAAAGAGGAGTATATTCTCTGTAGCAGAATAGGACTTTAATTTTATGCTAATTTTGTCAGCAGCAATTCTTCCTGTGGCATCAACACCATTATGCTGGTCACTAAGTTTGGATCTAAGCTACACAGATTGCAGACAAGTCAACAAAGATGACACCTCTCAGTGAAGGTTTGATCTGAACCAATGGCTTGGGAGTGAAAATCATCATATCTTTTTCCTATCTGAGCTATAAAAATGCTCATCAACTTTGTACCAAAGAGAAAAGACTTGAGTTGACAGTGGTGTTGTGGTCTAAAAAGAGCCGAGTTCAGATCATTGCCCATTAGCAGTTCACTGGCTCCTGAAAGAAGCCAGCAATGTTTTGGTGGTGCTGTGCCAAGCTGTGCTCTTCCTTCCCAAATTTGAAGCTGTCTGTACAAGGAGGAAGCCAGGAGCTGCTGCTTCCCAAAAGAAAAGAACCTATGGAATTCCACCAAAACAGCACAAATTCTTGTGGGAATTCTTGAGAGGAAACAGATGATGAAGTTGGATGATTATTTTCTTCAAAGAATAGTAAATTTGATCAAAGAGAAAGTGAGAGAAAATGTTGAGAGACTTGGAACTACGAGTATATTTGGATTTGAGAAATCATACCTCCCTTCTCGTTATTTTTTGTTGTTGTTTTTTTTTTATTGTCAAAATATCTTGAAAATCTCAGTGCTTTTCTTCCTTTTATCTGATTAGAAATTGTAAGTAGGCAATGCTGAAATACTTCATTTTAACTCTTTTTTAAATTATTTTTTATTTCATCTTTTATAATAGACATTACGGTCTAAACTATTGCTTCTTCAGCTCAGAAAGGAGAAAAGCAGAGTTAGCAAATGATGAAATAAATTGCAAACACACTTCTTCAACAAGGTCGGAGCAAACTGCCTGAATTCACTCTAATTTTCCTTTGTTACTCTGATTTGTCTGCCTCCCCGAGGTGCTTGTTTAGCTTATTTAAATACTAATGAATTAACAGCAGTCACACATCACCCCTGTTTCTCAATCAGACCAACTAGCAATCCCAAGAGAATGACACTGAGGGTGAGGGAACAGGAGACTGTATTCCATACGGCAAAAGAGTTACAGGAATTCTGGACAGAAAGCCTGTACTTGGGAAATGAGTCAGTCCACTTCTGCCTTGCAGAAAACATCAGTGCTGAAGTATAGAAGCAGTGTTTAGAAACAGCTTCTGAATTTGCAGCTGGCAAAGTGAAGCCTGTGTCTCTCATACACATCCACTAACTCGCTCCCCACACATGCATGCATACAGGTTTCTGGTGGGAAGAAAAGGAATGTGCAGTCTGGAATGCATATGAACTTTCTGTTCAGAAGGAAAAAAATAAAAGATTTTTCAACAGGCTCAAAATCCCACCCCCTCAGCACCCCTCCTTCCCCTGTGTCTGACACTGACTTCAAGGGAGGAGTTGAGCCAATTATCTGTGAGTCCTACAGAAGGGAAATCTGCAATTTGCCAGTAGTTGTGAGAGCCAGGGAGAGAAAGGCAGGGAGGGAAGGAGAAAAACTTAATCGGCAAACGTAAAGGAAAGCCCCTCCTGTCCTGGAAAGAGAATAGCACAATACCGATCCCAGGTCAGAAGAAAAGAAGCTTGTGGGGAGGGGTTTGTATGCAAGGCAAGACCTGGGGAAGCTTAGGCTCCCTGTAGATAACTTCCATGCCCTCAGTGATTTTTTCCCATAGGGACTGAGGTGGCATAGAGTGGATGAACCCCCAGACCTGCAGGACTAGGTGTTGCTCAAAGTATCCCTACTCCAGCAGAGCTGCCCAGAGGAGACTCTGCCTCTCCTCCTCACTTGAGGCTGGGAGCAGAAGAGCTCATCTCACTAAAAAGAAAAGCTGCTGCTGCTGGTCCGGAGACCCTTCTTTAGCCCTGATCTAGTCATTGCTTTCCATGGGGGGACGTCCTCTGGAGCCCTGCAGTCCCTCCCAGTCCTGCTAAGTTCCCAGGAAATAACTGGTGAAAAGCTGAGCCCCAGGCAAGCAACGTGGGATCCACAGAACGACAGCCTTCTACAGCATAGCTGCCTCTGATTCAAATTACCAACTTCATCAGGCAACGCCCAGACCCAGGGCTGCTCCTCGGAGGAGAGAGAGGTAAGAGCGCAGCATGGAGTTTGGGATGGCAGTGGGAGACAAACATCCCAAAGAAGTGATTTGAGTGTGCATGGGAACTGAGGGGTACTAGTGGTGGCTAACAGGTGCCAGGTCTGTTATGCATGATGCAGTTTGTGTATCTGCCTATGTTGTTTTCAGCTGGATGCACTGAAGTATGTTTGGATGGCAAACGGAAGCATCAAACTGTAGCTAAAGACAGTGGAGTGCAAGAAAGGTGCTCCGGGAATGTGCTCGTGGATGGGGAGCAGTAGGGAGGATAAGCAGATGTCACTCCGTTCCCTAATGGGAGCTGGGGAGCTTGGGTGGCAAAGCTGCTGGCAGGTTGAATGAGGAATGTCTTTCTTAGGTAGTTCTCTCCAGGTGCTCAGGGCTAAACGTGGCAGCACCTCACTGGAATTCAGACAAGTGCTTTTCAGAGTGAGGAAAATCAGGTGCATTGCCATTTGCTCTGGTGTGCATCTACAGAACAGGCAGCGGGGGTCAGCAGGTAGAAGATGTGGGGAGTCCAATGAAACGAGGCTTAATGCTGATTTTGGACAGCTGTTTCATTTCTCTATGGGCACGCAAGCCTTTCCCTTTATTAACTGGAGATAATACACACTGCCTGTATTTCTCTGGCATTCTGAAATCCCTTTACCAATATAAAATACTAATGCAGAATTTCTGCCATGGAGACAGTGCATAAAGAAAAAGGTACCACTGAGAATTAATCTATGCTTAAGCATTTAATAAACTGCAAGGAAAAGATGTAGATTAAAGCCAGCTGGAGGTTGTTTGCCTCCTCATTCTCTTCAGATTGATTTTGCTTTATTTAGTACATGAGCATGTGGCTCCCTTCTAGTTTCTTTCCTCTGTCTTTAATCTTTTTCAATGTATAAGTCCCTGTGCTGGGAATGAGGGCTGAAGTTTCTTTCCTTTTGTGAGGAGGAAAGAAGGAAGACTGCGCTGCACTGGAGAAAAGCTGAAGTGGAGGGATAAGGAGAGTGCACAAAAAAAAAAAACCGTAAGCTCCCAGCTCAACGGCATGCTCTGAGTCAGATTTGCAGCAGAGGTGATGAGATGAATAGAAACTCCAGGAATCAAAGTGCTGAAAAGCACCGTTAGACTCCATGTGAAATGAAAAGCTGTCAGGAAAGCATAGGAGACCTCTTAACTGAATGCCTGGACAGGCAGAATGAGGACAGTATGGAGTGACTATTTAATGCGTTAAAATCTGCAAGTCCTTACCTTCCTTCCTTCTCAGTGCATGTGCATCTCTGGGGCAAAGTGTCCTGAAAGTCACACGCCTGCAGGTAGGATTTTGTCTTTGATGGAGGTGAGAGGCAGCATGATTTTAGTGGCCAAAGGTGCCACAGTGTCAATTCTCTCTCCAAGGTGTTTTGGGTCCTGTGGCATTAGAATCTTAGAACCACTGAGGTTGGAAAAGACCTCTGGTCCTACAGTCAACTCATCACCACCATGCTCATAAATTAACTGAGGTCTAAGACAATGGAGTCCATGTCAAGGAGGAAGATGGAAGCACTTCCTGCCCTTGGGGTGCAAAACCAGCTGTCCCAGAAGCACGGTAACAACACATCAAGCTCCCTTGATACATGATGGGGGTTTCTGATGGCCAGCAGCTCAGTGGTTACCTGTCAGAAAACATACACACAGTAGGAGTCAGCCAGGAGTGCAACTATACCAGTCCCTCCTGGTCCAAGGAGCTGACTCATTTCTAAGCACTGAGCACAGCCTGTAGAGAAGCTGGTGTTTTTCCTCATAAAATCTATGCTTTTCTCTGTCAGCTAAATATAGCCTGAGAGGGTGAAAGGAAGTATCCCATAGCTGTTCTGTTGACATTTGTCTGGCCCATGGATGCCTGACAGCATTGGACTCACCATGTAGGATAGAGACACTGCATGTGGAAGTGTTGTTTCAGATTAAATTTGGTGTTTTTGCAGGGCTGGAGATGGGTCCTATTCTAAACAAAGCAGTCCAATCCACAACAGGTGTCCTCCATGTTGTCACTTCAGCAGCACCATAACTGTGTGTGTGTGTTTACATCCAAAGTTATAATCTGACATTACTGTCTGCCTCTAATATTGTGCAGCCCTGACCTCTATGTGTAATTTAGGCCATAAGACACTGTAAGGAAAGTGCTGCATTTTCTTCTATGCTTTATATAGGGATGAACGTGCTGCTAGCAAACGATAGCAATAATCATAAATAGTCATGTTTTGCTGTTGCCTCGGGCTATAGCACTTGTAATGATTCTGGATTAGAATTCCAGAGACTCCTTTATTTAGCAGTGGCCATATCTTCACTTCTGCTTTGGTGCTTTGCATATGTTAAACAAAGTCAAAGATTTTAAGCTCTTGACTGAGATAAGTGTCAGCTGCATAAACGCTTGGGAGATAAAATTCACTCAAGGGAAAGACAAGAATCCAGATCTGGACCCAGAGATGATATTTCAGTGTACACAAAGTGCTCAAATTGTAATATTAAGTAAACAACACCTAAGTTAAATAAACGGCACAGTGGGAACTTGATTATTCTTTAATAAGATCCTAGTAACCAAAATAAACTCTGCCCAGAATGTACTTTCTTTGCTTTAATGTTAGCTTTCCCCATTCTGGGGGTTGTATTTTTCCTTTCAGCACACAATGTATTTGAAATAGCACATGTAAAACGTCTGTGTGACCCTCCTTTTTATTTCCCCACCAAAGTCTCCTGTATCTGAGTAGCATCAAAACATGATCTCCAAGGTCTCGAGACACATTTTCCTTGCCAGGGGTTGGAAATCTAGTCAGATAGTAATTTAAGATGGCTGTCCTTTGTCCTTTCTCCTCCTGTACTAGCACGCTCA